TTCTACTAAATTTTTAGTAATTCCACTATTTGGTCATAACTTCTCTGAACTAGGTTCATAAAAAAGCATTCTCCCATGTCCACATTACGGGAATTCCCCAAAATAGGAAATATGTCTTCATCCTCAGGGTCATATGCTGGGTTATCAGGGGTATTAGGGAGTGCCCATCTGCTTAATCCATCAGCATTCATGTGTTTCTTACCCGCTTTATGGATTATGGTCATGTGCCCTCTGTACTGCTGAATAGCAATCTGCCATCTTAACATATGCCTGTTGGGAGTTTTCATATTCATCAGGGTTTTAACAGCTGTGCAATCCGTGATAACTACAAAGTGAGAACCTTCTAAGTAGTAGTGTAATTTGTCTAGGGCCCATACTAGCTCTAAGCATTCCATCTGACTGGCTCCATATTTTCTTTCTGATTCTTTGATTTGTCTAGAAATAAAGAGAATGGGTTTCTCCATGGGTTTGTCATCTATAACAAATTCTTGATGCAAAGCAGCTCCAAAACCATCTAAACATGCATCAATGTAGAGGATGAAAGGTTTGTCATAATCAGGTTGAGCTAGGACTGGGGCTGAAGTAAGCAATCTTTTCAATCTACATATAACTAAAAAAATGGCCTCAGAGGGCCAAACAAACTGTCTGCCTTTGTATTGATTTCTCATGCGGCTTCTAACGCCGGCGTCGATGTTGCACATGTCAATGTCTTTTAAGACTTTACAATCATAGCGACCTTCAAAAGCGAAGGCTATTACACCATAGGACCTTCAAACAAGTAAAACCCCCAACATCCGGGGCAAAAACAAGCAGCCCCCAAATTTGGGGGCATATACTAGTTCTTCATAATTTTGGACTCTTTCCCAGGTCATCTCATAAATAGTATCATCCTTGCATAGGGTGTACAAGTTTTTACTTACTATGGCAAATTGAGGAATATGTTGTCTGTAGTAACTGCAGAATCCTAAGAATGACATCATTTCTTTCATGTTATGAGGAGGTTCTTTTTTCATGACAGCTGCTACTTTATTTTGATCTACAGCTAGAGTTAGGCCAGATACTATTCTTCCTAGAGCTTTCAGTTCTCCATAACCAAAATTGCATTTTTTAATGGACATCTTCAAACCAGTCTTAATGGCGGTACTCAGCACTAGATTATTTTTCTCTAAGTGGGTTTCCCAATCATTTGAATATATAATAATATCATCTATATAAACCATCATCCAGTCTTGTCTGATGAAAGCACCAAAAATCGAGTCCATCATTCTTTGAAAATGGGAAGGGGCATTTTTTATTCCAAAGGGCATTCTTAAATATTCATATATTCCCAAATGACAAATTATTCTCAAAAATTGTCTGCTATCTGGGTCAATGGGTATC